GACACGCAGCTTATTCTGCCCTCATTTACACAGCATCAAGCAGAAAAGTTCCCACACAATAAAACTGCAGCCCCTGCTTGTGGCTGAGGACCCTGTGTTTCCTACAATAAGAGCTCAGTACACAAGAGAGAAGATGCTGAGGACCATGAGTGGAGCTGAAGAATCTCCTGAGGAGGAAAAAGGAAAGGTCGTCTCCATTCTCTACTCATTTCTCCAAACCAGAAAACTTGCTTCGGAGCTGAAAATCTGCAGCTCTGTTTAGAAGTGAAGCTGCTTAGATCTCAGCAGAAGAATATTGCCTGGAAGACTTAAAGCTGCAGTAGAAACTGGGAATCACTGAAGGAAGAGTTTGCAAAGCAAAGAGAAAAGCCCTCCCCTCTTCTCAGGTTGGGGCCTAGGCCTCATGTCTTAGTCCCAGTTTCTCCTTTTGCCCAGCGAAATACACAAACACATCACAGCTGCAAAATTATGACACTTGTTAAGTCAGTTCTGGAAAGGGAGAATACAAGGGTCATTAGTACAACTTTGGATTGAGGATTTACCTGCTTTGATCCCAGTTGACAGCAGACAGGATTAGAATCTTCCTCCATGGGGGTCCACATTGACCCCGTCCCCAGCCAAGCCATCCTGTAGCGCCTGCTGGATGCCACGGTCAGTGGCCTTGAAGGCTGTGAGCATGTCCAGGGTCTGCTGAGGGTCTTTAAAGCATGGGCCCAGAGGAGGAAAGTCTCTAATCCGTGAAACTTCTCATCCCGCCAAAAGCATACAATGAAGGCTCACTCCTGTGCAGAAAGCCAGTGTCTGACCTGGTGCTGACCGTGTCCCTCACCTCTTGGATCTCCTGCTTTGGGGTGTCTGGGTCCTCACTGACATCCACCTGGGCTTCTTCCAGGTTCCAGAGAGAGAGTCCAGCCTGTACATGAGTCACTGTTCCACTGCTCTGAACCTTCCCTCCTCAAGCTGCTGCTGACTGTTCCTCAACAAAAGCTGGCCTGGCTGCCACCACCTTTGGGTCCCCAGACCTGGTGCTGCCTGCCTCCTCTCCTTCTCAGGAAATGATCTTCTCAGCTGCAGTCAAGGACACTGTGGCTCCTGCTTTCCTGGGGCACACAGCTGCGAGGGAAGCTGAGGGCAGCAGGAGGCTCAGAAGGCAGTGACACCCTCAGGGGTGGGGCTGCAGACCTGCATTTAGTCCTCAGAGTGCTGCTGGTGGGCCAGTGCCTCCTCCGTGCTGTCCCAGCTGCCCTTGATGTTCTGGTGTGTCTTCCCCATGGTCCGAGGTGTCCCAGGGTGATGTAGCTGAGCTTGGCCTTGCCATGGCTTCTCTGCCTCCAGCCAGCTCTTCTTCAGCAACTTGGCGTTTCTGCTTCTCCTTGCGGGACCAGGCGCCTCCTAAACCGCTCCGCGCTCCTGTGGAGGCCGGTCCTCAGCTCCCTCCCAAAGCTGCACTAGATGTCCTGCACCTGCGCTCTTCCTGGCCTTCAACCCGGCCTCAGCAACTTGTGGCGCAGGCTCTGGGCCATGGAACATCGCCGCCACCAAGCACCTTCTCTTCCCCTGACCTCCAGCCGCACCGTGGGTGCTGCAGCCGTTGGGGCCCTGCTAGCCTTCTGCCCAGCCACTGGAGAGGAAAGGAGAGCAGAGCAGAGCGGAGGAGAAGGGAGGACAGGGAAGCCTTCTTGGGTCTGGGCAGATGAGCTCCTCCCACAGAGGGTGCAGCAGAGGAGCGGGTCAGGGCAAGAGGGGCTGGGGCTGTGGGAATCCTGCCCACAGTACTGCAGCCTCTACCTCTGCTGTCAGGCAGGGAGGTAGGCAAGGTAGGGGAGGGAAAGGGGAAGTGAGAGGGACTGGACCTCAGGTGCCTGGCAACCAGCAGTCCCTGGGCTCAGTGCACCTGTCACCTGCCTGTGGATGGACGCGATCTTCTTTGGTGCATTCAGAGTTGAGTTGTCATAGAGGGGGAGAGAGTGAAGTTTCAGTCTTCTGCATGTGGATGTCTACTTTACCCATGACCATTTGTTAAAGACTTTAAAGACTTTTCCCCAGTGTCCGTTTCTGGCTCCTGTGTTGATAATCAAACAGTATCTGATTGTTTTGGTGTATGTGTCTGTTTAGATGCTGGTGCATGCTGTTTTCGTTACTATGGCTCTGTTGTATATTTTCAAATCAGGCATTGTGATACTTCTGGCACTGCTCCTTAAGCTTAACTTTGATGGGCTATTCTGGGTATGCTGTCCTTCTACATTGATTTAGGATTCCTTTCTAGTTCTGTGAATAATTTCATTAATGTTATGATGACAATTGCACTGAAAATGTAGATTGTTCTTGGTAATGTGGTCATTTTGACTACATTAATTTTGCAGGTGCAGGGACATGGGCGATTTTCAGTCTTCTGTTTTCTTCCCTTTATTTAATCAATGACGTGTCATATTCATTGTAGAGTTATGTCACCTTCTTTGTTAGGTTGATTCTTACGTATTTGATTTCCTTCTTTATTTTTTAATTTTTTTTTGGTTTTTCTCCGGTACGAGGAACCGAACTCATGACCTTGCGCTTGCCAGTCAAGTGCTTTTGCCGCTGAGCTAAATCCCCAGCCCTGATTTCCTTCTTTGAAGCTGTTGCAAAATTTGTTTCTGATCTCTTTCTGAGGTTTGCTACTGGTGTAGATAAGCTACTGAGTTTTCGTGTCAATTTTGTCTCTTGCTACTTCACTGAATTTTTCACTTTTCAAAGTACTTCTGAGGAAAACTACAGTTTTCTAAGTGTAGGTTAGGATCATTTCATCTGCAAGTAGAAGTGATATGAGTTCTGCCTTTTCTATTAGTATCTTTTCTATAACTTTCTTTTTCCCAAATGCTCTGGCTAAAATTTCTAAGGTATATTGAGCAGGACTGGTGAGAATGGAACCCTCCCTTCCTTCTTTCATGGAAAACTTGTTACTGTCATCTCTTCTACTATCACCTTGTTCATCTCTAGGTTTATTAAATTAGGTTTTTTTCTATTTTGTGGTCAGTTTGGATCCAGGTTTATGATTCTTTCTATTTTCAAAGAGCCCATCCTTGATTTCATTGACCTTCGTATTGTGCTTTTCCTGTCTGTTTGACCAGTTTGAGCTCCAATCTTCATCACGTCTTTCTTTCTTCTGCTGTTGGATATGATTTTTTTTTTTCTTAGACCTTTCCATGCATCGCTAGGTTCCCTACTTGTGATCTTCATGGTTGTACTATGTGGGCACTCATAGCTCTCAGCTTGCCTGCTAGGACTGCCTTGGGTGTATCCCAGAGATGCTGATGTGCTGTGCTTCCATCTTCATCTGAGTTGAGAAATTTTTTAAATGTACCCCCTGAATTCCTGACCCACTGCTCATTCCAAGGTGCATTGTTTCATCCGGATGTGTTTGTATGGTGTCTGCACTTGCCTTGCTTTGATTTCTGGTTTCATTCCTTTATAATTTGGTAAGATGTGTAAAATTACTTTCGTTCATTTTGTTTCTGTTCAGAGTTCGTGGTCAATAGAATGTGTTTTGGAGCAAGACCCATTATCTGCTGATAAGAGTGTGTATTCTTCTGCTTTTGGATGGAATATTGTGTTGTGCAGGAGACATGGGGTATTACCCTGTGGAGTCCATTCAATGCATGATGTGGTTGAACTCTGATGTTTTTGTGTTGAATATATTTCTTCTGAATGACCTGCCTACATGTGAGAGTGAGGTACTGAAGTCACCCACTGTTACTGTATTGGGATTGGTGCATCCGTTCCGTCAAGTAGTACTTGTTGTATGAAATTGGGCATAACAGTGTTCCTTGCGTATGTATCTCGATAACTGTGCTACCTTCTTGGTGGATTATTCACTTTATCATATTGTAGTGACCTTCGCTGTCTCCTGTGATTCATTTAGAACTGAAGTCTGGTTTTGTGGATATGATTTTATTTCTGCTTGCTTTGGATTCCATGAAATACCATTTTCTCTCTTCTCACTGTCACTCTGTATGTAAACTCTTTGTCACTGTGAAAAACTACTGGAGAATAACAAGTTCAAGCATAAAATGTTTCTGTTGGCCCTGGGTTTCAGAGGGATCAGTCTCTGGTCACCTGACTTCCTGATTCCAGGCCTGAGGTGAGGCAGAATGTTAAAGATGAAGTGCAGGCGAGGAAAGCTGCTCCCTTCAGGGCAGCTCAGCGCTGCTCCTGGCAGGAGGCAGAGATGGCGAAAGGGCCTGGTTGGAGGTGCCCACAGAGAAAAAGTTCTCCTCTCAGCAATGATCCCTGTGATGCACTTCTTCCAGATAGGCCCTGCTTCCTAAGGATCACATTGAATGATGGATTCACACATTGATCAATCCCCTGATGATCTCAGAGTCCCCATGATCTAAGCACTTCCCAAATCCTATGAGCTTCAACACAATGATCACAGAGCATTATACCGTGAGTTTTGGGAGGATGTTCTAGACATCGAGATCAGTCACATCAGTCTGTGCATGTCTGCTACTCACCTGTGTTTCTTTCCAACAGAAAACAATTGGTCTCATTTTTACCCAGTCACGCACTCTGTGTGTTTTAACTGGAGAATGAAGACTATTTGCATTCACCGGTATTACTGAAAGACATGTAGGACTTCCTGCATTTTGTCCTTATTCATATTTTTGATTCATTGCTAATTCTTTCTCTCTCTCTCTCTTTTTTTTTTTTGCAGTACCGGGGATCGAACTCATGACCTTGCACTTGCTGGGCAGGTGCATATGCCAGTGAGCTACTTCCCAGCCCTCTTTGCTAATTCTCATAGGCTCACTGTGTAGGATTCCTTGATGTATCTTTTGTAATGCTGGCTTAGTGTCTTTAATCCTGCTGTTACTGTTGTGGTTGTCATTGTTTTGAGACAGAGTCTCACTGTGTAATTGAGGCTGGCCTCAAACTCCCTGTGCAGCCCAGGCTGGCCTCAGACTCTCTGTGATCCTCATTCTTCATCCTCCCACGTGAGGGAATTCTAGGTATGTGCCAACACGCCAGCTCATGAGTTCCCTTGATCTTGGGAGGTTTTTTTTTTTTTTTTTTTTTTGCTTTTCTCTGGTACCAGGAACTGAACTCATGACCTTGTGCTTGCCAGACAAGTGCTTTTACCACTGAGCTAAATCCCCAGCCCCAATCTTGGGAGGTCTTTATGCTTATCTCAGAAGGTCTTTCATTTTTTCTTCAGGTCTGAGGGATAGTGTGACAGCTAAGCTCCATTCAGGGGCAGGACAGTCCTTCTTACTGGGACCAGGAACTGTGTGTTTCTCAGAGCAACAAACCATAAAGGATGAGCTTCTAATGCGGTGGGTTCTAATGCATCCTTTGTCGTGTTTATTCTCTCCACAATAAATCCTTTAGATATTGTTGCGGTACAGTACGTGAAGGTTCCCCAACAGCATTTTTGTAGGAGAGAACACAAATCCTTAGGGTTTACCTGCTCTGTTACACGGCACTAGAATGTCGAGCATGAAGACCTTAAGTCTCATGAGCTCTGCTGATCAGATGCTGTCAGCCTTTACAGTCTGCACAGATCAGTGAACACTGCTAACCCACAACAACTGCTCAGGGCCTGAGAAACCTCTGTGGGTTGCATGACTTCTACTAAGCATTCTGGCTTCTGCAGCTGCCTTGACTAAAAGTTCACCTCGTTCCATGCAGCTTTTTCTTATAGAAATTAATCCTGCAGTGCCCTATTTTATGTTATAGAAACATCAAACAGGCCAGGTGTGGTAGTTCAGGCCTGTAATCCCAGCACTCTGGAGGCTGAGGCAGGAGGATCACTGCTAGTTCGAGATCTGCCTGAAACGCAGCAGAGTTTTAGTTGTTTCTTCCTCTATCTTCACTTACTTGTTCATACATTAAGGACTTACCTTTCTCTGTCTAGAAGATGGGATTCCATGTTTTTCTTTAAGAAGGATCTGCCGCCTCCAAACGGGTGTGTTCATGAAACTTTTATATTTGCATCCCCAACAGCACAAAAATAGCATTCCTGAAAGAGACAATTCAGTCTTTTTGTGTCCAGTTGAGCTGAGTTTGATTTCAGCAGTTCAGAGCAATATCGTTTTAAGCATTTAGAGAAAAATATTTTTGTTGCAGGCAATCCCTGGTCATTACGAACAACCACTGATCCACTAGAGCCTGTGAAAGGAGATTCAGGTAGTGGTCACGTTTGGGAGTGGTATGTGCTACCCATACAGTAAAACCTTAATGCAAAGGTCTAACATTCAGTGCAAGCAGTACTATGAAAAATAGGACCCACCAGACACATTGTCATTCAGTCACCTCAAAATAGTCCTCCTCTGGCCTTGACTGTATTTATTCCATAGTCCTTGCCACTTTCTGAAGTATGTCTGAAAGTTCTCTTTCATGAATGTCTTTCCAAGGTGTGACCAAAACTCTGGGGAACATTGCTCCCGAGTGCCATCCAACAGAGGGGCAGGTCTGCAAAATAAGTATATGTGTTGGTCACTGTGAACTCTTCTCACCTCTCTGTACTGTAGAGTTGTAAAGTTTATTACTTCTCTCTACGTGTGTTTGGGTACATGTCACGCAACTTGCCTGTACTCTGTACTCTACCCCCTTCTCAGGGAAAAGAAATTCAGAACCACAATGAGATATCAACACCATCCAGTTAGAATGGATGTTACAGAAACATCAAACAGGCCAGGTGTGGTGGCGCAGGCCTGGAATCCAGCACTCTGGAGGCTGAGGCAGGAGGATCATTGTGAGTTCAAGTCCAGCCTGGACTGCAAAGTGAGTTCATTGCCAGCCTGAACTGCACAGTGAAACCCCGGCTCAAAAAGATAGAATTAAAACCCCAAAATGGGAAACATGAAACATTCACAAATGTTCACAAGAGTGTGTGGGAAGAGGGAAACTTCTTGCTTTGATGGTGAAAATGTAAATTCCTATGGTCATCATGGAGTACAGTATTAAGATTCCTGAAAAAATTTTCAAACTAACTGCCAGTATGATCCAGGTATCCCCACTTTGGAATACATATGAAATGTATCAGGCTACCAGAGAATCACCTGAACATCCATGTTTACTACCATGTTATTCAAAATAGCTAAGATAGGGAATTAGCCTAGACAACCACCCTAAAATGGATGGGTAAAATATGTGGTAAATATTCACAATGGATTATTATACAGCCATGAAAAAGAAAGATATTCTATCCTTTGCAGCATGATAGGTGGATGGGAGGTCATTATGCTACCACAAATAAATCAAACAAAGGAGATGACAACTCCTTGTTTTTTCTCCCCTGTAGATGTTTTAAATTCCATCAAAATCTGTAATTCTGTAAGATTTTTATACTTGGTACATTTTCCATTCTTTCCCACTTGTCCTTTCTTTTTTTTTTTTTTTTCCTCCGGTACCGGGAACCGAACTCACGACCTTGCGCTTGCCAGGCAGGCGCTTTTGCCGCTGAGCTAAATCCCCAGCCCCCCCACTTGTCCTTTCTTTTTCTCTGTCTTTTAGTCTATCTGCATACATTAGTGTATGGAGAGATTAGATATTGAGTGATTTAGGAAGACCCTGTCTCAAATCATAAATACAAAAGTTCTGGATGTTGTTCCATGAGGAAAGGTTTTGTCAATAATAAGAGAAAAGAGGAAGAAGAACAATAACAGCAAAAAAAGAGAAGAAAAGATGACTCTTACTTATCCTGTGAAGTGATACTTTGAGACAGTCTGATTGTCTGGTTTCCCAACAGTCTTCCTCAGAAGAGTTTTAGTATGTATTGACTTTTATTGGATGAATTGGTTATCATTGTAGGTGTGTGATTAAAGGGGATTTTTCTTTTTCCTTTTTGGTACTAGCGTGGATTAAGAGATTTTCAGGTTTCATTTTGACATAGTCCCTTTTCCGTTTCTGATTTAACTAACTCACTAAATAGCCCAGGCTAGGCTCAGTATTTCAATCCCTGTGCCTCAGCCTGCTAGAGTGCTGGACTTACAGGTGAGCACCATGACACCCGCCCAGCTCATGTATTACTTTTGCTGAATCAGTGAATTAGAATTCATGTCTTTTGTTATATATTGGGGTGCTCACATTGACAAAAACACAGTCAGTGTGAATGTAGTCCAGCTGGAGCCTGTGTGCCCACTAATTTTCAGCACTTTCTTACATTCTGATAAGCGAAAATATTTCAAACACCTTGTTTTTTCCTGCCTCATCCACAGGATGAACAAATTCTGTGTTCATGCCTTATTCCTTTACCTTGTTTGCTCACTAGATGCAGACAGAATCACCTCCTACTGCCTCTAGGAGTGATGGCTAAGAGACTGAAAAACAATTCCAAGCTAATGTCACCCTTCACGAGGTCCTAGTTGAGCCGGGTGTGGTGGTGTATATGTACAGGGGCAGCACCGGCAAGCTGAGGCAGGAGGATCTTGAGGGTGAATCCTGCCTGGGCAGTAGAGCAAGACCTTCTCCGAGAAGTAAAATAATATTTTGATAGGTGTGTGTGTGTTGTTCAGTGGTAGAGCACTCTTCCTTTCCGTCCTCAGGACTGCAGAAAACAAAAACACTGTACCCCTGATTGAGGCTGGACATGATGAAGTCCCCTTAGTCCTAGGTCCTCAGGGTCCTGAGGCAGGAGGATTTCATGTGTGAGGCCAGCCTGGGAAGTACAGTGAGAACCTCTTCTAAAATGTTGAAAGGCTGGTGGTAGACCTTTGAGATAGGGCACCTGCCCAGCATGCATGAGGCCCACAACTAGAAAAAACATAAGTCCCGGACTTACGGAAATCTTTGTATATTCCCTTCAAGAGAATTTCAAGCATGCATGCTTCCCTCCTTTCCTTGGAAGGATAAATGTCCTGTGTAGTGACACATTGTTTTTGTACCCAATGTCCCAGCATCCTGAGGAAGCGGTCTAACCCTCTCCAAGGACAGTTTGGATCAGATCCGAAGATTGCAAGTTGAATGTCTAAGAAGCCTGCACCTTCTCACCTTCCAACTATTCCTTATGGGGATCCGAGCAGATCGCCCATGTGTGCCTCAAGTGCTTCAGCTTAGGGGTTCAAGCTCTGTTGGACTCATGTTTTCCAAGTACTGTAGTGGGAACCCACTGATAGGCTTTGGTTTAATTCTGAACCAAATAGGATGTACCTGGAGGTTCCAGGTGCTGCATGAAAGGATCTGGCTACATATGAGCAGGACAGAGCCGAATACTACAGGACAAGAGATGGAGATTGTGGACACTGGCAAGCACTCTGGGTGGCTGAGTGCAGAGGTGGGACTCACTGTGGGCCTTATATGGAAGGCTTCAAGGCCAGGTTTGTCACTGGCTGTTCTCAAGTCAGTGACAGAGTCTAGGAAGGACACCAAGGCAGGCCGCCTCCCAGGAATCACAGAACTCCCTTGACAACTGGTTTGTTTCAGGACCTCCTAGCAGTCTTTCTCAGTTTTTTTGAAGCACATGAGAGGCTACAGCCATTCTACTAAACCCAACCATTGTGCTCAACCCAACCTGCCTTCTCTCCTTCATTTGACACATGAATTGGCATCACAGTCTCACAGCTGTGCCAGTCACTCCTGATTCTCTTCTCGTTTCTGGCACAGGGTTGTACACAGCCGATTCTTTGTAGATTTGTCCGTGTCTTGGCCCCAACTGCCCGGAGGATCTGGACAAACATGGCGATCAAAGACGGAAGCTGGGACATCAGTGACAGGAGGCAAACACAATAACCCCGAGGAGAAATGGCAGTAGCTTGGAGCACAGTGGAGACAATAGGGGTGCAGACAAGTCACATTTTGGTTTTGTTTTCAAGACTTAATGCAAAGCCAAAAACAGGAAGAAAACAAAGTATAAGCTAGGCTTGAGTAACTTAGTGTGAAAACCATGGGTTCAATCTTCATTCCCACAATAAAGGGAGAAAGATAGAGAGACAGAGAGACACACACACACACAGAGCGAGAGGGAGAGCGAGAGAGAGAAATAGAGATAGAGATAGAGAGAGAGAGGGAGATGGACAGAGAGAGGGAGAGAGAGAAAAAAACAATACTAGATTTGCTGATAAGATATGAGATACAAGAGGAAGTAATCCATCAAAAAGGACTCCTTTGTGTTTGGCCAAACCAATTGGAAATGCGGAGTCTCCTTCACCTGAGATGCTAAAAGCTGTGAGAAGAACATGCTCCTGGACTCAGACTAAAGACTTCGTTTTAGACCTAGTGGGCTGGAGATACTATCAGATACCCAGAAGGAAATGTCACAGAGACAGTGGATTCCATGGATCTGGAATTCACAACAGGGTATTGGCTGAAGATAGAACTTCCGGAGTTAGTGTACAGGTGGTGCTTGATGCCGTAGAGCTGAGTGTGGTCCTTCAGTGAAAGATCATCAAGAGAAATTCTAGGAACTGAGTCCTAGTGCATAAATTTGGCAGGTGAGGAGTAGTCGTCAAGAGACCAGGGAGGTCATGCAGATGGAGAATTGTGGAAAGTGCCTGACATTGGTGTTTTCATCGGGTCTGGCCCCTGCTGAGAGTAACACTGCTTTGCCGCAAAGGCTGTTTTGTGTGACTTTGAAGTCGCTGCCTCATGGGGTTTTCCCTCATGGATGCCCCACATCTTTTTCCATGTGTTCACTCTCAATCTTACTTTTGTCATGATTTTCAGATGCAGTGAATCATAAAAGTGAATTCACTTTTCACAAATGTGATTTGGCAGGGTGTCTTTCCACATAGATCTGAGTACTTTATATTACAGTGATTGCTTATTGGGGTCTGATTCTATAAATTTTATTTCTGCCTGCATTTTTCTTTCTGTTTTACTTTCACATTCTTCCAATATTTTAGACTGAGACATTTTTTCATTTCAGTTTGCTCCCTCTACTTGATTCTTTCTTCATGTATTTTCTTTTGACTTCTGTGTTCTTTATGTCTTCCACTAGCGGCTGTCCTTCCAATTTTAACTCAATTTTTCACAGTGGTCTAGACTTGCTCTCTACCTTAATGCTGATAACTATACAGTCAATGCCAGTGCTACTGTGCCCCATAATTTAGGTCAGGACTTCCCTCCCACACTCCAACAGTACTTAGCAGACTGTTTCTGTGAAGTTTGCCACATATTCATCATTGCTCACTAGTCCTACTTAGAGATCACGACTACCTAGCATCAATTCTGTGTATTAAAGAAGCACTCTTTAGACTTTCCATTGTGCAATACCTTTAATTGATAAACTATACTCTTTTTGTTTGAATGGAATGCACACTCTGTACACAGCTATCAGTGGGACATTTCATGAACCTTGACCTGGCCTATCCTTTCTTCCAAAGCATCCTGTTTTTGTGGGAAAAATTGAGTCAGCACGAGCCAGGAGCTCAGGAGAAGGAAATATTACTGATGCTGGTGAACCCCAGAGGAGTAATTCCCAAGTCTGAGGCACTGATTGCAAAGAGCTTGCCTTTTTGAAAGGGAGGCAAACAAGTTACAAGAAGGAGATAAGCTTTTTGCTAAAGGTTAGGGTACAGTGAATATAGTTGTGGGCATAATTGTGTGTCCCAAAGTTGTTTGTAGCACATGCACAGAAGTTTCAGTTGATGACAAATCATATAATTTAGCTGAGTTAGGTGGCAGAGAACAGAACGCCTGCAGCTTTATTGAACAAGATGGCTACATCTAGGTCAGAACCTCTGCTTCACTGTCACAGCTCCCTGGGGTGGCCTGGGAAAGCAGCTGCCTGCAGCTTTAATGGTACACCATGCATCCCCCACCTCCTGGAGGAGGCCTCACCAGGGCCCTAATGGCATCATCATTCCACTCTGGCAATGGGACTGGAGGTCTGAGGCCACACCCCGCTGTGTTTGGTTCAGTTCCACCCTGGTTAGCCCTCTTGTAGGCAGGCAGCAAGAGCTGCACAGGGCGTACTGGAGACAATTCCTAGTGATTCACTGGACTGTGCTGAAGTGCTCTCACCCTTTTCCCCCCATTCCTCCCTTGAGCTTTCTGAAAGGACACAAAGGCAGAAATTAGCTGCAGCCAAAAAAGGTTAAAGCTCACAGAGTCCCAGCCCCTCAACCCAACTGAGTCCCCAAGCTGGTGCTCCTTGCTGAGTCTGTGCACCCCCGGAGGTGATTGCAGAGGGACCCTCAGCGCTCCAGTGCCCTCATCAACTCCCTTCCCAGCCCCTCTCCTCACAGCCAGCTCTGCCCCCTCGCGGCCTTGGCGACCCTGGTGGTCACTCCTGGGCCCCCACTTGGGGCGTGGCACTGGCCTCCTGACACCCACACCACACCTCCCTGACTGTACATTAGAGGACCTTCTTCCCTTCCCCCTCGTGAACACTGAGGCAGGTCGGGGCACAGACAGAATCTAGGGACATGGGGGGAGGAGTAGAGAGTGCTTCAGTTCAAGTGCACTGGACACTGTCACCCCTATCCCTCACCGGACCCTTCATCTTCCCCCTGGGCCCCTAAACTGTCTTTAGCCCCTTTCCGGTTTCTCTGGTGGAGACACAGATCTCCACCTAGAAGGACGTGGGAGCGCA